GTTGGGCGCCGCCCTGGCCCCTTCCCCTGTTCTGCTGTGGGAGTCCCACCGCAGGCTCCCAGGGTGTCCCTTGCCATCCTCGTCACTCCTTGGGGCAACCGGGCACTTCCTCCATGTGGGAGGCCCTGGCTCCACACTGCCCCACAGGGATGGGGTACGGCCCCCCAGGAGCCCCATTCCCCATTCTCATGGCTGTCTCTGCCTTTTCCAGCTGGATCAGAACGTGACCCAGGGAAGCCTCCTGGATCTGGCCACAGAGCTGGAGCAGCTGGCAGACAAAGCGGTGAGAGACCATGGCAGCCAGGGGCCATGGCCACTCTGTCCCCAAAGCCACTGGCTGTGGGGCCTCCTCTGCAGACCTGCCTGGGTGCTGAGAGGAGGCGAGGCCCCTCACCCTTGCCCAGCTCTCTTCTCCAGTCTGGCCCCCCATCAGATCGCTGTGGTGGGGTGGGGACCCCGTGCCGGGGGACACCACTGACTGCAGCTCCTCCAGGGCACGGATGTGAAAGAGGACCTGAAGGCTCATGCTCAAAAGCTGAGGGAGCTGGACAAGGAGATGCAGACGAGCTTCTCTGGGCTGCTGGTGAGTGATGCTGGGATGGGGAAGGTCCTGGGGGTGCTGGCTTGGGCTCCCCCAGAGCTCGGAGCCTGCTGGCAGGGTCTCAGCTGAACCATGGGGTCTGCGCTTCTGAGCCCCCCTCTCTCCATCCCCAGCAAAGCCTGAAGGAGGACATCCACTCAGTGCAGAGCGGGGCTGCCCAGCTCGAGGTAGGCTGTACAAGGGGGCTTCCTGAGCGCACCCCAGTCCGGGGCACCCTGCAGAGCACCCCTGAGGTCCCGTAGTGGAGGTGGTGGGGGCTAACCTGCAATTGGGGAGGGGGCTCGTGCCTGCTGTGGGACTCCCCAAGCATGTACTGCAAGGGCTGCTCATGGGGCAGAGGGAGGGGGCCCACGCCATGGACCCTGCCAGGCATGGGCTCCTTCCACCTGAGGTGCTCGGGCACTACCAGCGCGTGACTGCTGGGGCCACCATGGCTCAGAGACACTGCGCCCCGGGGATTGCTGCTGGGTAAGGTGAGGGGGATGTGGGGACCCCACTTCCCTCGTCACGCTGCTGAGAGCACCTTTCACCCCAGGCACAGACAAAAGCTGCGCTGGACAAAGCCAGCAAAACCCAGGAGTTCCTGGAGAGGGAGACAGCAAACATCATCAAGAACGTGAGCTCGCCTTGTCCTGCTTCCGGGCCACCCGGGGGGGTGTCACCGCACCCCCACACCAAGACCTCCCTCTGCGCAGGGATGCCGAGCAATGTCTGGCTGCTCATCCTGCCTTGTCGTCTTCCCCGGGCATCCCCTGCACCCCTGGGTGCCCTCTCCCCTTATGCACCTCAGGCAAGGGGCTGGGGTGGGGCAGGGCTTGCAGCCCCATTGCTGCTGGGTCGAGGTGGTCTGACAACCCTGATCCTGAGACGGAGGGGATATGGAGCATGGAGTGGGCTGGGGTGCAGCATCTCCACTCTCTGTTTGCCCCCCGCAGGAGACATGGTCCTTCCTGGAGGAGCTGTTGGACTTCTTTGAGACCTACATCTCCTGGGCTAAGAGCAGTGTGAGTTGAGCCTTCCTCGGTGGGGTGGAGGGAAGGGGAAGATGGGCTGCAGGGTTCTGGGGACACTAACATGTCCTGTCCCCGCTGTGTCCCCAGCTGACAGGAGATGTGGCACGTTGCAAGCCCATAGCTCAGACGCTGGATAACGTAGAGGCCATCACCTGCGACTACATCCTGGACTCTCTGGTGAGTGGGGCAGCGGTGTGTGGGGTAACACGTGTGTGTGGGGTGGCAACGAGGTCCCCTTGTCCCTCTCATGCACAGGATGAGGGGTACCCATCTCTGTCCTGAGCAAGCAGGACTCAGCATCGCCCTGGCAGATTGCTGTGGCTAAGAGCAAAGGCCAGGCTGTGAGAAGGGGTGCATGAGTGGTCTTTGGGGGGACTGGGAGTGGAAGAGGTGCTCTCAGTCACCGTCTGGGCCCTGACGGCTCCCTCTCCACACCCAGAACGCCTTCTGGTTCAGCCTGGGTTGGTGCACCTTCTTCCTGCTGCCCAGCATCATCCTGGCCGTCAGACTCGCCAAGTTTTACCGCCGCATGGACACTGCTGATGTTTACAGGTGAGGAACCACCACCCCATGATCATGCTGGGTCTGGGGTCCCCCCTGCGCACTGCAAACTGCCCCTTCATGTGCCCTGTGGCAGCACGTGTGGGCTGTGGGGGGGGAATGAGGGAGGTGGCTTGGGACCTTCAGCCTCTGAGGATGGAGATGTTTTGGAGAAGAGCCTGGCTCTGCCTGCTCTGCAACTCCACTTTGGGCAGCCGAAGGTGCACGCGACCCCCTCAGAGGAAGGGGCCCAGCTTGCACGGGGGGGCTGCAGCCCCCCGCCTGGCTCGGGGGTCCGCCACCTGACTTGCTCCGCTTTGCACCATTTTTTGTGCTGGGGCCCCCCAAAGAGGAACACAGCTGGATGCTGCGCAGAATGCAACACGCTGCGCGGTTGGCGTCGTTGCCACGAGGGTGCAGTGCTTGCTCATACGCCCTTGGCCACTGGCACCCTGGGGTGGCCCCCCAGCCCTCTGGGGCCCTTTCCCCCTCTCTCCAGGCCCACTGCCAGCATGGCCACCGATCCCGGAGGGTAGCGAGT